CAGGTTAGTTGGGTGAAGTGTCTTGCCCAAGGACACAACAGCAGGATACTCCTGGCGGGAGCTGGAGTCAAACATTTGTGCTATGCTTATGCTGGTTTGTGCTGCTAAAGTTTGTGTTTGTGCTTATTAATTAAGTAACTATTGTCTATTTTTATCAAGATGAACTGCCCAATATATCGTAATATTGATTTGAGGCCATATTGCCCACCCCTTCATGAGACTACTGGTTTAGCTCTCTCCGCTGACTCTGCTTTCCTTGCACGTGTGCAGTAAGATGCTTTGTCACCAGCAGCTTTAACAACACAAACTGTTCATTAAAAAGTAAATCAATTAACAAACAGAAGTAACTTTATTCTGTAACTCGACACATACGTATCTTTTATTGTTTTACATCTCTCTCTCCAAACACACCCACATCACCCCGCTTCTCCTCCAGCTCCACTGGCTGCCAGTCAACTTCAGGGTTCATATCAAGATCCTGGTTCTGGTCTATAGGGCCTTACATGGACAAGCACCATTCTTAGTCCCTACGCCCCCAGCAGGTCCCTGAGGTCCAGTGATCAAAGCCTACTGGTTGAGCAGCACCAGGCTAAAGACCAAAGGTGACAGATCATTTGCTGCTGTGGCCCCCAGACTCTGGAACTCTCTCCCCCTGAGCCTGAGATCAGTGGACTCAGTGGTCTCCTTTAAAAAGCAGCTGAAAACTCACTTGTTCACGCTGGCTTTTGTATGACCTTCTTCACCACTCTCTCTTTATTCTGCTCTCCCCACCTATTCCACCTTTCTCAGGATCCACTGATTTCCCTCTTTCCTAATCACTCTCTCTTTCGTAACATTTTTATAATCACAATTGCCTATTTTTGCTCATTTTAAATATATTTTTCAACATTTTCTAAATGCCTTTTTATATTTTTACATTTTTTGTTTTTGTGAAGCGCCTCGTGATTTCTATCTTGAGAGGCGCTATAGAAATGATACTTTCTTCTTTTTCTTCTTCTCTCATTTGTATTGGAAAGTATCTGCATACCTTTAGGTCTTTGCACCAAACCAAAAAAGTAAGGATGACAGAAAGTATGTAGATGCGTACAACTGTGATATTCTCTGAAAAGGTTAAGCCCACTCGTTATGTCTTGACAAATCCCAGCTCGTCACCCCACACAGAACGAAGACTTCCTAATGAGCCTTGTGTTGGAATGACAGAGCACCCAGCAGAGCTAATAGCAGAGTTTAGCTGGCTGCTCGGTGTCATTAACAAACCCTTCACCTCAGCTCAACTCTCAGCTACAACATTAGTTCTGCACTGACAGTCTACACCAATTAGCATTTAATTAGCATTTTTACCAGGCTGCGTCGAGCAGAAAAAAGTGAAGTGACCATGGCCTTCAGCTGACAAGGGACTGGTGTATTTTCTGCAGCTATTTTTATGATTGAAATGGGTATTGCAGTGAAGCTAATCTGCTATGCTGGTCACGATTATATAGAGGGTCACGATTATATGGAGGAGCAACTAAGGTGGGCAGCTGAAACAAACTGACATGCATACTAGGGATGTGTATAGGTGAAATTCTGGCGATACGATACAGGGGAGATGATACGTACATGATATATTGTGATACATTCAGCCAGATGATACTAGCAATTTTTAAGACTGAATTTATTTATTTATTTATTCCCCCTCCCCGTGTCCTGTCTGGCTGTGAAGCAAACAGAATTGATGTCTGAATGCTGGTGACAAGCCTTACAGATTTACTCTCAGGTGGAACATCAAAGCATCTGCTTTTAATGTCACGCCTGATACTTAAAACTTTATTTGAATGTTTTCCAATTCCGACCACACACAGTGGTGAAATAGAAAGGAAGAGACAAAAGGTGTGTGTGGTGGTGGTGGGGGGGGGGATACACAACAATACAACAGGAGCAAGCTATCACTGCGTCAACTTGATGATGCAATATAAAATCAACATTGTTTTACTGAACAATCACACGACAATAAATCACAGAGAAAACGCAAATCATCACGTTGGCCGGAGTTTTTAAAAATATGTTTTCGTTGTGTAAGATCTGCTTTTTCATGTGGACGACAGGCCGAATCGTAGAAAATATCTTTGTTTTAGGAGATACCCAACTACGTGTGCACAGGGCCTTAGTGGCGTCATTCAACCCAAGCTCAGCCACATCAGCTGTGTGAGACAACAATTCATTTGACAGCCAGATATAACAAACTTTACGCAATGCCTCCCCACTTGACACTCAGCATTAAGGGGTTGGATTGGGGGCTTAAACCAACAAATAGCTCCTGATCTTGGCCATGTCTGCAGCTCACCGCTCCCCCAGGGCATGGGTCAAATGCAGAGATGTAATTTTACCCATGTATGATGACTAATGGGACTTTAACTTCAAAGGCATGCTATGCACACAGTTGTTTACTAATTGCAGTCACAAATGTTTGTTGTAGTACATTGTACCAGATTTTACTGCATCAGTTCTAGTCACCTTCCACCTTTAGCCTAATCAATGTTTTTCACTACCTTAGTAATCCCTGGCTTCCCACGTTTTGTTATCTACTCAATGCCTTATTTCATTTTCTGCTCTAGTTTAAGTCACCTTACACTTAGTAACTCCTGGTTAACCTTTCTACCTACTCAGAGAATTGAATTTCTGTTCATTAATGCTTCATTTGCAGCAGCTCTTACTGCATCAGTTTTAGTCACCTTCCACTCTTGGTTTAATCAATGATCTTACTTGCTTAGTCATTCCTGGCTGACCACTTTTGTTATCTATTCAATGCCTCATTGATATTACGCAAGTTCTGCTGTTTGGTTTATACCATTCAGTTCTGCCCCCCTCTGGCCCTTTACAGGGACAATGAAATGAAATGTCACTCAGACCCTCTGTGGCCAGAATGCTTCACTTGCAACTTTAGAGTGCCAGTCCTGTTGACCTAGTACAACTGGAGCTGACATGCCTGGAGCTGGAGTCTGCTTCCAGCACGTTTCCTGCATGTTTTAGATCGTGAACACAGCTGATTTGTTTAATTTAGTGATGAATCACTCCTGTAGAAACTAATAAAGCCTAAGGAGACATTTCAATAGTTAAAGTGTTAAAAAGACAAACGTACAGTGAGGACATAAGTTTAACTTTTGGTTTTACTAACAGAATGCTAGGGGTGCTAAAAGTAAGCCAAAGTTGCCTATGCTATCTTTAATGTAACTGAAGTCATTGGCTGCACACAAGTAGTTTTAAATGCATCATCATAATATATAGGGGCAGCAGGAGCTCAGAAGATGGAGCGGGTTGTCCAGTAATTGAAAGGTTGCCGATTCAATCCCGACTCCGACCAGCAAACACTGCTGTTGTGCCTAACCCCCTAACCCTTGGACAAGACACTTAGCTCATCACCAGTGTGTGAATGTGTGTGTGGATGGGTGACTGAGTGATTGTGTTGTGAAGCGCCTTGGGGGTTGTAGAACCCTAAGAAGGCGCTCTACATAGAAACAGACCATATACATGTGCATTTGTCAGTGTGTAAGCTGTTTTCTTAATCTAAGCACATCTTGTTTGCAGCTGAAAGCAAAAACAAATGTTTCTCATTTTAGAATGATCACACAGTCTCAAAAATCTCATAATGCAAAATGGATTTAGCATTTGCTTTGCTAATTTAATGTTCAAACAATGTTTGTTGTTTAACTGGATCTGAATGCATTACATTGGTTCATGATGGAATTCAGTTTGAACAAACTGTCTTTAACTTAACCATATTAAAAACAGTTTTGTGCCAACAAAAGAACAGAATGAAGAGAAAATCTGTATTTTTCAAACAATAACAAACAGGGCATAAAGTGTATGCTCCATATATGGGCAGGCCTGGGGTCACGGACAATGAAACGAAGAAGGAAAATCTCCAGTATAAGGTCACTGGAGCCGTTACTCTTTTTTACTTGCCAGACATATCTCTGTCACATGTGCACAGGTCTGTAAAACCACACACACACACACACACACACACACACACACACACACACGCACACACACACACACACACACACACACACACACACACACACACACACACACACACACACACACACACACACACACACACACACACACACACACACACACACAATAATCTGTCGTGGACACACTCCCATAAAACATCACAAATTTACTGCCCTGACACTCTATCTCTCGCACTCACATGGCCGAGGATGTAAATCTATCCAGCAAGCAACACACATGCGTGCGTGCATGCAGGCATGCGTGCTCACACACACACACACACGCACACACGCAGCAGGCTTTATCTGAGCCTGCAGCCTCACGCTGCATAAATTAACTCACAACCTTTCACACAGTAGCCGATTTACAAGGTTAAACAGCTAATTATGGGACTTTCTATTAATCAGACACACAAACACCTTCGTATCAATGAGAAAACACTCACTGGAAAAATGCAGACTCTGGCCCTTTATGTAGAATCATCACAACCTAATGCTTGACCCTAATTCCCTACGATTCCTCTTCTTCAACATGAATAGGTAGAAATAAAAACTCATGTGGGTCACCAGTGAGGTGCGTAAATAAACAGTGAAGCGGGTGACAGATTGATGCTTTTGCTGCAGAAAAATGTAACATCAATCATCCACCGCATACGAATCTGTAAGGTTTCTAGAAAATTAATCACAATCCCATGTTTTCTTCTCCACTGTTAGAAAGTGAAGTCTGAAGTCTGAGGTCACGGAAAGGTCTGAGAGTCAAATCTGTCCGATTTCTCAGCCCAACAGTCCCTCAGACGGATGATCGGCTTCTATTATCAGCTTTGTAATAATAAAGGAGGCAGCATGGAAATCTTCTGTGTTCAGGTCTAACTTGGCTGTAAACCTGGATCTGACTCCTCCTGGACCTTTATTAATCTTGTGTAATCACACAATTAACAGATCCAAGAGTGAAGTATGAAAGCAAATTAGCCTAAAAGCAAATTCGTCAAGTTAGTGAATTACCTGGAAGTAAGGCTGCCTCACGACTCGCATAGGCATAGGCTGGCTTTCTGGGGTGTAGGAATGTCTTCTCTTTCCAGTCACGTCTAACGGAACGATCAGGTGTGGCGAAGGGGGCGGGTCCTCCATCGCTTGGTGATAGCGAATAAGCTTTGAGGAAGGAGCGTAGCCTCTTCTGCCTGAATAGACAAGATTCAGACTTAAGTGACTCATTTAGAGCAGCACTCTCCTGGACATGGGGACTTGCTGCCTGCATGTTTTAAATAGTCCAAACTGGTGGATCATCGACACACGTCTACTGACCGTGATGAGATACAGAGGAAGTAACTCGATCTTCCATAAAGGGCAGGGGGTCTTTGGGGAATGCATATTTTCTATAATCATCTAATGTGATAGGTAAATAAATAATATTTAATGATTTTTACATTATCAGGTTACTATTACTAATTATTTTCATCATTAATTCAGATAGATGAGTAAAAACAATAAACATAGATTTATAAAACTAATAATTTATCTTGAAAAGCTTTCTAAAGCTTTAGTTTAGTGGGCTGTTTTGGCAAAACTGTCTGCTGTAATGTTAATGTCACTGCTTTAGTGTAATTAGACCAATACACCACAAGATGGCAGCAGCGTGAATCATTCATATAAAAAGGCTGTCTCCGCCAACTTGTAGACTCTAAACTGATCACAGCAGGAAACCTGGGGCTATTGTCCTGCTAATATGTGTCATCTTTTTTTTAATCCTTAAAGTCAGTCAATCAACCTCCTGAAGGTCTGGAAGTCTGATCAACTCCAAAGCATCATTTAAATTTAGTTTGTGTTCTTTTTACCTGTTAATCATCTGTAAACCTACATTGGGTGCATCATAGTTGAGTTGGTGGATGTAGCAGAATAACCATTTTTACCTCCAGCATCAACCAGCCATCTCCGCTTGTCTCCTCGTGTGTCAGCCTCGCTGAGGATGGCCACCAGCTCCCCTCTAGCCAGGTTCAGGTCCAGGTCCCGGCTGCCCACCACTGTGCTCGCCACCTGGTAGATCTTACCAGACCCATGTTTATCTGTGAGCTGCTTCAAACGGCGCTGAGACGATGGGCTCAAAGGCTGGGGGAAAACAATAGAAATAGATATTGTTTACAATATTGTAAATTTCCAAAACAAAAAAAAAATTCAAATGATCAGAGAGGGATTTTTGCCATTTAGTTAAATAAAGTGTGTCAACATGAGGAAGCTACAGAACAAAAAGCACATTCCGACTTTCATTCATCTGTGAGTTGTAATTACACAAGAACGACAAGTTAAAAGATGCTTTTGTTCTGAATGTCCGGTGACTTGGCGAACTCAGTAACAAGAACGCACTGAACCACATATACTATCATTCATCCTCAGCTTAGTTTTAAGTGTCAGAACAAGACGTCAGTGTACTGCCTACAAATATGATTTATCCCTTTTGTTTTAAAGGTGTGGGACACTCATTTAACCAATACAATTGCAGTGATCTCTAGTAGGAATTAATGCCACAAGCCTGAAGAAGTTCTGCCATGTGGTGGAATTGCTAATGCTAACGGTTCGCTTTTACTAGTTAAGACATTCTCTGGTGTTTTCTGGAAGCTAAACCAACAACAGCCTTCTTCGTTGAAAGTTAAAATTGGTGAATCCATGAATATTAAGTGACTGTGTGACGTAGACCTGTCAGACTTTTCAAATCCTATAGTTTCACCGTCTATTTTCTATCAGAAGCTAATGCAGGAGATAGGTGTAGGAGACTATTTTCATGTTCCGCCTGTATGAAAAACTCTGAGTGACCGATTATAATTGAAAACAATAATTAAAAAAAATGTTTCAGTGTTCCACACCTTTAAAGGGGCTGTCAAAGCAAATCTCACCTTTTGTATTCTTTTGTGCTGCCACGTGGGTCCTTACTGCCTCTATATACACTACAAATGTTCTGTCTATTTTAACTTTTATGAATTTTATGACTAAAAAAGTAAATTTAAAAAGTCCCCGTTTATGATGTCACAAAATTAGTAGAGAACCACCCCTCATATGCTGGACAGAGCTGCTGCTAGAGGAACAGCGACTCTACTCCCAGGCCCTGGCAGATATCAGAGCTTCTCAGCTTATAGCAGCCTGAGTGGGGGATGGGTGGTGATATTTACTGGTGAAATTCCCATGGGTCTGTTTTTCCAAATCAAACTGTTTTTTGAAGGTTACATACTTATCCTGAACTGTAAAGAGAAAATGTACTAATTAAACTTTCATCAGTTTGTCAACATCCAGATAATGTTAAGAAAAACAGAGGGACTCTGATACCTGGACGACTGGAGCATTGAGTGTGTCCTCCACATTTTGACACACAGTCTGCAACTTCTTGGCACTTTCAAGAACTGCAGACTCTGCCCACTCCCAGAATGCACTTGGGTGGAGATGGCTGTGAGGGAGCTGAAAGGGGACAGAGAAAAATGATCAATAAGAGTTTAATGATGATGGCAAAAGCATGTCACCAATGTTCATCTCAGATCATAGTACAGCTACCACACACAAGATCTGCCTGTCTCCCTTTATGCTTCACAATTTTATATTTTAGGGTTTTGTAAGAGGGTACCTGTTGTGCAAAGCTCTGAAACAGCTGCTCCATGTCTGCAGCGAGGTCTTTATGCATGCAGCTGAATGTCCCCAACATGCTCCAGATCATCTGCAGAGCCAGACCGTTAAAGCGAGGAAGTTCGTTCAGCAGCAAAGTGTTGATTGTCCTGAGAGGAGACGGCAAGGACGAGAAGGGACAAAGTTTTTATTTAAAACTCTGTTTTCTGTTAAGAAGAATCTGACTCTACCTTCAATCTTTTTTATTACAGTAGATTTATTCAAGCCCGTCTGCCCCTCTGTACCTGTAGGTGTTGGCTACAGCCTGCTCGTCATAACTCAGAGTGGATTTGGACTCTATCATTTCATAATCAAGCAGCTTGTCGAGCCTCTTTCTGATCAGGTTCCTCGGCCCCACCAGGAGGTCGCGGAGAGCGCACAGCGGCTTGTGAATCAAAGTCCTCATACGTTTCTCCTGAGAGCAGGAGGAAGAAGGAGATTAGAAAGCTGCTTGGTTCAGTGCATTTGATGTTTTACATTTTTACTTGTTTTATTTTACATTTATTTTGTGAACTTGCACTGCCTCTGTCAGGTTTAAACAGAAAAAAAACCTCACAAATGTTGGGAGAATCCACTGTCTGAGTGCTGTGGTGATCTCTTTGTAACAAATGGGTGACTTCTCTCCATCCATGTCAAGGTCAAACTCTTCTGTCCTGCAGTCCAGGAATCTCTGCAGACCAACGGCCAATAAGGGAAGGAAGAGTTGAGACAGGAACAAACTCCATATTAATAGTCCCATATATTTAGAAATATATAAATCAAAATTGGAACAATATTTTTTGCTCACAAATTTAACGTTTTTTAAAAAGTTCATATCTCTTGAAAAGAAAGAATAAAAAAGGTGGATATTTTTAGACTTGAGCAGGACACAGAAATGTGTGTTTGACCTCATAAACACTCCTAAGTTTACACACAGTGTGACTCAAACATAGAAAAATGTTTCGTTGTGTTCAACCGCCCCAGTTGGTTTAAATTTAAACAAGAGGAAAAAGTACATGCTGCTGTTTCATCAGTCACTAAAAACTATAAATAAGGCGTTGCATTTAAACTAGAGCTGGTTCCTGAACAGCTCTCAACTGTAATTTGACCCAATTAGATTGATCTCAAATGTATAAAAAATAAAAATAAAAACCACACAATAATTAACTTGACAGTTTTGATTCTGAGTGAAAATTTCGACACTGAGGATCTATTAAACAGATTGGCCCTGAGTTACGGTACGTTTCTGGTGTTACAATTTTACTTCATCTAAACACTTTTGTCTGATTACAATAAGCAGACATCTCTGGAAAAAATGAGCAGTTCATGTAAAATCAACTCATCCTAACAATAGTCGCACATTCCATTAAACACGAGTACTTTTTCTAATGTTTAATCTGTGAAAGTCACAAGGAACGAGTCTGGGAGAAGTTTAGTAGATTAAGTTTGAGGAATCTGATGATCCTGCAAACAGAGAAACACGTTTACATTCAGCCTCCATCTGGCAGCAGGACTCGGGAGTTGGACGCCGTTCCAAGGACAAGCAGCGTTCCTGACAGATAGCAGGATGTTTATTACGGAAGCTATGGCTTATGTTTTAAGACTTCTGTTCTTCTCACACCTTTATTCTCAGAGAGTAAAAGAAGTAGGGATGTCCTGATCCGATCACATGATCGGAAATCGGCCCCAATCACGTGGTTTCAGACTGATCGGGACCGGGCTTTACTTCCCAATCCAAGCCCCGATCTGGAGTTGGATACTGGGTTCAAATTACAGAAGAGCAACTTGGATCTCCTTAAAGGTTGTCAGGCTCCCCCGATGCCCTTAACTTCCACACCCAGAAGGAGCACAAAAGAGACCCAGTTTCTACCTATATTATATTATTTATATGGACTCAGCGTAGCGGGGATTCTTTTGAGCAGAGATGCAGAGAGCAGCAGGCAGACCGCTGATTATTCATGAACTCCAGCTGCGTTCAGCACATGGTCACAGTAACATTTTCTAAGTTTCTAAGTGGCGTCACCAAAAATATATAATTAACACACAGTCATTCATGACCGTTCATTTTCTCTCCGAGTTCTGTCTGTATTTGAGCATGACGTGTGGACGCGCTCGCGCTGCAGCAGCCGGGCAGCGCTGCGCACACTCCGCTTTTTTGCGGTCAATAGATCAATTTGATCGGCTGGTTAAAAAGTTACTTGTGAGGTGAAAAAGAAGGAAGCAGGCAGGAGTTTTTCTGGAGGACTGGGAGATGCAGGAAGATCAGAGACAGACAGGACAGGAAAATAAAAACTAAGAAAACAAAACAAAGTTCTTAGAAAAATAAAATGTAGGTAGATTTATCCCACTACACGTTTGCACCTGTATAAAGCAATACTTCATCAGCATGTAGTATTTATATAGTTGATACAATTCAGATCATCTTCAAAACTCCGGCCCATGCCCAGGGACGTATCTAAGCATTTTGGGGGCCGAGGCAAAATAAACCCCTGCCAGGTATTTTAAGTTGAAGTGCTATCTGTTTTTATATTAGACTTTTTATATTTGCAATAAAGTCCAAAAGTGAAGAATTTATGTTATTTATTACTTGATTGTTCAAGCAACCTCATAGAAGTGATCTGTTGTTAAAAATTAAAATAAAAAGGTAAATAAATAAAAAATAAGGAGCATTCTGGAACCGTTTCTGGAACCGAGATGCCCCTCCTCACTTAGCAACGCTCCTGAAGAGATATTTGCCTTCACACTCTCTGAGCTCTTCTGATCAGGGCCTCCTTGTCATCCCTCGCACTGTGTCGAACTTGTGAGGAAGGGGCTTTCTCGGTTCTAGCCCCATCACTGTGGAACCAGCTGCCATCTGCAATCAGGCTGTCGACCTCCTTGCCGGTTTTCAAGAGTCGACTGAAAACTCTTTTTCGTTTGGCGTTTCCAGAACATGTTTGAAGTCGTCTTGCTTTAATGTTACGTTTAAGTCTTGTTTTAAATTGCCATTTTAATTCCCTCTTAATTCGCTTTTATTCATATTTTTATTCCTCTGTCTTGTGCTCTACACTTTATTTTCAGTGTTTGAACTTCTCTTTTCATGATTGCATGTCTTTCTATGATGTGTTCTAGCACCTTGGGCACCCGAATAGGGTTGTGGAAGGCGTTACACATAAATAAAGTTTTGATAGCCCCCCCCCCAATGCCGGTTGTGTCCCCCCACTTCTAAAGTCAAAACCGTTTCTATAACGTTTCTATATATTGTTGCTTTTACTGTTGTTACTTTACATTTTTATCTGACATATTTATGAAGTTCCTTGGTTCACTGTGTGTTTTAAATATGCTTTAAGAAAAACTGGACATTGACAAGAACATGTTGAGGGGATTTTTTCCCCTTTCTTCAGACCATGTTAGTAGTTAGCTAACAGCTAAATAACAAATGTACCTGTAGGTGAAGTAGATACGTCTCCACGTTCTCCAGCAGCACCAGGATCCCGTGCTCAAGAATGTTAAAGAAACCCTCAAAAGCATCAAACTCTTCATCTACAAGCTACAAGAAGAAGCACAGTTTCAGGTAATGAGTAACAGTGGCACACAGCAGTAAGTATAAGCAGTGTGATCATATTTCTGTAATTTTATTCCACTTTCTTAATTAAGTAATATTAAAGCTGGAACAGATGGCTTTGATGAATAGTTGAAATGTACAGCAAATGCATTCAGAAGCAAAGTTTTGGCTAAATAAGGAGATGACTTTGTTTTGATGGTGGATGATACGATTTAGAAGGATCATAATATCCTTAGGATTTCATGTAAACACAAGTTTTCTAAGTACAGCTGTGTAACTTTGGTGTGTCTGTCTATCGGTAAACATCATTTTCCAAACACGTGGTTCCTTATCTTTGTCTGCTACTTGTCAACGCAACAACAAAGGTCATCTTTCAACTTTAGCAGCCACAGACATGAATGAACCAATCAGTTTTATTCCATGTGGTGATTTTATTTTTATACCAACTATTATCTCTTAGAGTTTGAGATAAACTTGAAAAACATTATGAAATAAGATGAAAACATGAAGTTGTGAATCACACAGCACAGAAACAAACTGATCAGAGTTGAAGGCTAAATGCAAAAGCAATGTAAACAGCTGTTTTAAAATCAGGTCATCTTCTCTGTTAATAAGTACGAATGGAGCAGCTGGAGCTGAAGTTAAACACCTCATTCCTGTGTTGCTTCATCCATCCTTATGGGTTAGGGTCACCTGTCTAAGAGCTAACATGAGCCAACAATTCCTTCAAACAGCATCTCACCTTTGGTTTAATTCCAGTCTCGTGCTTTAGCTGCTGGCTGAAACGTGCCGTCTTCTTGGCAATGCTATGGGGGTTGAGGCGGTTGATCTTGTCCTTAATGGTCAGAGTTTCTGTCTTCTTGTATTTGTCAGCTACAAAACATGAATATTCCAGCTCCTCAATGCAAGTCCTGGACCTTTTTCCAACTGCAGCATTTGTAATCTTTCCCATCTTTTACCCTCTTACCAACTTCTCTGAAGCGTTTGTATTCATTGATGCGACAGTTTAAGGCGATGGAGGTGAGAGCAGTCTTCTCCAGCAGCTTGAAGGCGGGGTGAGAGGTGTCAGTGTGTTTTTGGATGGTCTGCAAGAGGAGAGGATATCTGGCAATTCGCTGCACCGGCATCACCAAGAAGAAACTCAGAGACGAGGCGTTGACCTCAGGCCTGGGGGAACAAACAGGGAATTATTATTATTTTTGTGAATGTATGAGAAATAAAGACATGCAGAGCCTGTTTTTCCCAGTATGAAAGAGGCAAAACAAGTACACAAACTCACGCTGAGGCCTTAATGATTCTAACAATCTCATTCCAAAGAGCCTCTTTCTGCTTGTAGCTGTTCTCCACTATGGAGATCTGATTGTAGTAAGCCAAGTATTCCTTATAGGCTGCTTCGATGTCTGAAGAGAGGCTGAGGAATGAATCACCTGTTGGGAGAGGAAGATGTAACATTACTTTTTTATGTACGGGAAAAATAAGATTTCACTAGCTAGAATGAATTTTATACAATTGAGTATATGTATGATTGTCCAGGTCAAGCAGCACTTCCTGTGATTAAATGTTTCAGGTCTGAAGCAGTAAATTAGGCTGGGCTGCATGTCTTACAGAGGGTTTGTAAAAACTGAGGTTCTCCGGATGGCCTCCGGTCCAAAAGGCTGAGGAGACGGCTCGACACCTCCATCACATCCTCGATGTAAAGAAACAGCCTGTCCAGGTTGGCTAGAGGAGGCTGTGGTGGTTCAGGAGAGAAGATGTATTCATAAGAAAAACACAAATTAAAGAATCTGCTCTTTAGCAGATTGTCTAGTTTTTGACTATGATGTTTAATTAGGAAGCAGATATTTGACACTCTGCTACAGTGTTGTAATGCAAAATATTCGGTTTATTCCACAGTTCCTTTACACACGTGTCAAAATAGACATTTTTGCATCAGTGCATACACATTCAACAGATAACGCAGAGTATGTCTTTGTTTTGTTGTTATGATGGTTTCATGCACACCTGATCAGATCTGCATGGTGCAGTTCTACTCGCAGAAACAAAAGGACAGCAATGGATTTCAGAAATGTTACGTTTTTGTGCTCGTCTTATTTTCTCAGATCTGTGATTCACTGAAGCAAAGTTTATGAAAATAGAAGAAAATCTTAAGATCCCAACATCTGTCCAAAGGTATATCAGAAACAACATAACTGAACCTTAACAAAAACTGTTAGGCTGAGGTTAAAGTTGATGTTTATTTATTTGGCAGATGCTTTTACCCAAAGCGATGTACAATTTTTAACTTGTAGGGCATGTTGTGATCTGTAGGGGACACCGGAGTACCCGGAGGAAACCCACGCATGCATGGGGAGAACACACAACTCCACGCAGAGAGGCCGCAGCTGAGGTTCGAACCTGCAACCTTCTTGCTGCGAGGCAACAGTGCTAACAACTGCGTCACCATGCAGCCAATAGTTAATAACTATTAAACTTGTGGGTGTGACAAAGTGGCTGAACCTTTACCATACAACTACAAACCGATCAAGGAGCAGCTGGGGTTGAAAAACACACAAAACATTTGAGAGGAACAAAGGTGAAAGAATGTAGTTTGGCTGTGTTTGCAGAAGCCTTGTTTGTTTAAAGTCTCCTCCAGCTGTTATCAAGATGAATGTAACAGACGTACCATGAAGACGTGGAACAATCACAGTCATGCTTTGTACCAACTAATCAGTAACAATCATAAAACATGATGTCGCACACACACACACACACACACACACACACACACACACACACATGCCATTTTCTCCTTTTTCTTTGAGGTAAGGGAGAGGTCTGGAAAAAAACACTTCACAAAATAAAACAATGAAAACAGAAATTTTTTCAAGAAGAGGAACATGGACACAGTCCATGTGTAATCATTTAGGTTTTGGATAATAAATCTTCTGACTGAGACAACATTTATGAATCTGCATCAGTTTTGTGCTGCAGCTGATAGAATACATTAGGGATGGTCATTTTAATAAGAAAACAGCACATGGTAGAAAACAGAACAATAAGCACTTTTTGTGGGAAAACAATCAGACAACTCATCCATCTCACAAAGCCAGCATTCATGAAGCAGTTTTGTTTTTCTCTTCAGCTCTTCTCCACTCTGCTGCCTCCGTCCAATTTAATGTCTGTTTTCACCTCATTCATTCAAGCCCACAATCTAAATCCATCTTCTCCTATGTTCTTAATCAATGTCTTCCCATCGCCTTATCTCAGCATTTTCTTTTTTCATGATCTAAAAGCTTTTCGATTTTTATTTCTTTGCATTATCTTTGTCACCGTTTGTCTCTCCTGGTTATCATCCTTGTGATTACCCTCAACTCAATCACTTCAGCACACACAACCTACATCCATTTTGTTTTATGAGGTTTCATTTCATTAGCAGAGCGATAACAAATGATTATTCCTCAGTAATAAGCAACACCTCAGTCATAATGAAACACCGACACCACTGAGTCATCATGGGGGCTGCAGCAGAGCGGCGCTCTGGGATGCTGCAGAGCTGCTTCAGCACCAAGTGACAGGTTATAGTCATTATGAAGAACTTCAGTGGGCATTACCTTGAAACTTCCACATTTTACTGATCCCTTGGTTTAAAATGTACAAATATAGAAAACATGTAATTACATGTATTTTTGCAAATAAGCAGTATTGTGGCAATGACCTTTTCTTAATATGCGTACTTGTCTGAACTTGTGTACTGGTAAAACGTCAATGTGAAACCAACTACCGTTTTAAGTACATATGGCAAGTACATCAAAGTTCCTGGAGGTGTTCTTGCTCCACCCACTGAATCGAAGACGCACCAACACATCCTTCTGCGAACTTGGACCAGCAAGGTATCCCATAATGCATTGGATCACAAACGGTTATATTCTAAACGGAAAATGGCAGAATAGAAAGCTCATAACTTTAAACGTCAAGGGGGTTCATTTGCAAACAGCAACATACGTCATCACTAAGCGCCAACTTCAAGGAAGAAGTAAACAAAAATGGCTGCAAGGTTACTGTTCCGTACCGGTGTGAGAGCCGCGGTGAGCTCCCGGGTTGCCCGGGTGTCCCAAGCTCTAGTTTTTGACTAGCATGGCGGCTGGAGGAATTCCCACAGATGAGGAGCTGGCTACTGGGCAGGAGAAGATCATCAAGAAGGCCACGAAGGAGAGAGCAAATCTGTACAGCATGAAGAAACCGAAGAGCTATGCCGGCCCCAAGTAAGACCGCCACCTAGTTCCTTCTATCATAAACAAGAGGATTGTGGGACGTGTCTGTGAGGAGGACAACACGGCTGTGCTTTGGTTCTGACTTCATGAAGGCAAGGTCCAGCGCTATCCATCCTGTGTTTACCTATAAACATCAGCTGCCCCTCTAACTTATTGATCTCTCATAAAAGCAGAGAGTTTGACTTGTTTTAAAAATTCCTCCAGAACAAGTAGAGTAGGACTGATTTTATCCATCAGCCTACAGGAACACCTAATGTCCTTCGGGCTCATCTTGTTCTGTCTTATCTTCAGTCTTTGTTTTACATGTTACATTTCCATGGACACAAGTTGTTTTGGGGACCTTTAAATTCAGTTTACTTGAACAAGTGTACGGTATGATGTTACACTCGGACCATTTAAATCCTCCACTCAAACCAATATAAAGATCTGAACTCTCAAAAAATTTGAGCTCCTTGCCAGCTGCTTTCGTGGTCTGCCTGTATCTGTTTTTGATACATGTCTGTGTTTAACCTTGGTCAGGCTGTACTGTGGAGAAAATTTTCTATTATTCAGGACACTGAGACAATGACAATAAAGTGGATTCTGATTGCTTTGTCAACACCTGTACAATAGAGCTCCGGACCCCACGTGACTCTCAGTTAGTAGACGCCATAAAAGAAGCTAAACAAACACGGATCGTAACCATGAACGTGAACGGGATCAGCTTGGATTTTACTTTGTCGGAGTTTACTTCACACTTAAAAACCGAAGAAATCATTTTATATAGTCAGAAATTAAATAGACTAAACATCTCCGACCCTTACCGTGCCCCTGGGATACTTTTTAAAAACGCCAGAAGCTGTCGGAGCGGACTTCTTACCAGACCTGGCCGGGGAACCCCTTGGGATTTCCCCGGAGGATGCTTGCCCAAGTGGCTGGGGAGAGGGAAGTCTGGGCCTCTCGACGCTACTGCCCCCGCAACCCGACTCCGGATAAGCGGATGAAAATGGATGGACAAATAACAGATTTACACGTAAGTAGTTTAAATAGAGTAATGTGCTGTTTGAATGTATAAACTGAACGCCAAGAGAAATCACTAGTCTGATTTTTTTTCCGTGAATAAAATAAATATGTCAGGCAGGAGCGTCTCAGGATCTGTCTGAGATCTGTCTCGGTGAGACAGATAATAGCAATCCAAAGTGCTTTTTATGTGTGATCTGACAATTGATCAACCATCGCTTAAAAATGAAATACAGCTTAGCCGGTTAATTGCTGTGATCATAAAACACGTAAACTGCAGCACGCAGAACTCACAAGGCAACGTTTTACGTGACGTTTACCTGTTGCTATGAGTAATAAGACAGAAAAAGCCACGCCAAAATAAGTTTAGGAAGCTCACTAAGAATCGTAATAAAAGCATTTAAAATAAATACCATACACAGTTGAGGAAACGTTGGTTTAAGTACCTGATATGAAGTGGTCGCTGCATAAGTGAAAACCTTTACTCTCGGGATCCCACAGCTTCATTTTAGCCCGGTCACTAGCGCGTTTTACTGCAATGATCCAATGTTTGCGGCGCTCCGGATCTTGGGGAATCCTGTAGATGGCTCATTCCTTATGTCGTCCGTGTCTGTTCCGCATCCTGGGGCACAACAGGAATCTACCATATTTCCTGTCTGAGTTTTCTGACAATAACAAATAGTCCAGCTGCCGGCTTCTACCTACCAATATGGCGCCGTTTCGATTTGAACTGTTGCATGCCGGGAGAAGTGACGTCAACTCCCGGAGCTCTATAGTCTCTAGTATAAAGAAATGCCTTGTGAGTCAATCTCTCTGGGAAAAAAACTCTTGCTTCTGTTTCAGGAACTAGTGAGCCAGAGCAGAGGTGAGCTTCAGACGGCAGGAGTCTTATTTCCTGATATTCGGACATCTCGCTTCTGATTGGCTAACAGCAACATGACTCTACCACTGACTCCATTCACTTTGCAAAGTTGGTATTTTAACTCCACAAATAACAAAAGACTGAAGGAGTTCTGCTGTGTTATGGAGCAGTTAATGCTAACAGTTAGCTTCTACTAGCTGAGACCATCGACATACATATATGGACAATGGGTTTCCATAGGCTGAATAACACGTTTTTGAGGAAAAATGGGAGGTGGCCACCACCGCCATTTTGACCGTGTCACAGGTTCCGTCAAGCACAGACAATTCCATGAAAGGGAAGAGATGGAGCTGAGGGTGGGGCTGTAAGGCTGGGATCAACTGACGACACCCGGTCGAACTAGCTACAAGCTAATCTGAAGCCAACCCAAAGCTAATGTGGAGGTGGGAGCTAAGCTAATGGAGGTAGCAACCTAGCTACAACGGAGTTAACTGTGCACAACACCAGAGCATCTGAGTCAGAGATACTTCGGGCTGACCGCTGGGTAAAACCGGGTGGAACACAGAGGTCTCTGAGACCTCCACAAGCCGGCAGCCGCATAGCAGACAGGAGCCGCTGCGATCAGACAGAGATGCACCGAGCTGCGGGGAGGCAAGAACGGGTGGAAAACATCAGTCTCCCGAGAGCTCCACAAGCCGATGGTCGGAACCCAGCTCCACCAACATGTTATATTTCAACCCATTTTCTAAACTGCAGCATTATGTTAAATGCACTGGGTTTTACCCTATTACATTTAAATTTCATGGTTAAACAGTACATGTTAAAATCTAAGCTCAGCTCGGCAGTGACCTAAAATACATAAATATAATTTTACTTACCGAAAAAAATGAAGTGGAGACTCCTTGGACGCTCTATTAGTGCAATTAATGCCACAGCAAGTCATTTTGTCCAACAATTGCACAAAAAATATCCAAACAAGAATATACAAACTCCCGGAACAGTTTCCAAGCCAGACCGAGGCTCAGACTGAGGCCTTTCCACGGAGCTAGCTCTGTGGTCACGTGTGTCGGATGCTCATTAATTATACAGAATTTTAGGCTTTTAATACATTTAAACAGAAGAGTGAGAAAAAAATTCACCCCCCTCAGAGTTGTCATGAGTGTAAACTAGATCATTTAAACAAAAAAAAAACATGTTTTGGTACCAGGCTGTAAACATGTTTATTTCTGCTGTGAAATTGGTATTTTTAACATGGGAGTCAATGAGGATTTGCTCGCTTCTGACACCAGCCCCCAGTGGATGAGGGTGGAACTGCAATTTTTCTTACTTCCGGGTTGGGACCAATTTTAGAGCCGCATTGTGGGGGATTGGCTGAGACTTGCTCTTATCTGTCCTAACTAAGCCATCAACAGCCTTCCCAGTCAGGAGCCAAGATGCTGTTTGTCTGAACGATGAACTTAAAACAGCGCTTGTTGCCGTGGCGTAACAAGAGTACGGATCTGTTCCAAATGCTGCACTTGGTATTTGATACGCATTTGATATGATAAGAACAAATCTGTCAAGTTTGCAAGAACATACTCTGGTATTGATAAACGGCCAACGCTGTCCAATTAGACCAGTCTCAGGTCATCTGGGGGTGAATGCATGATGAAGAGGAGGGCTTGAGCCAATTATAAATAACTAATAAAATACCATAAATAATAATAAGTGCGTCTGAAGTAGGAGAACACCCTTTCACGAACGTTTGGTAAATAATCTATCTGGCAATGTGCAACTTAAAAACTTGGTGAATTTGAAGAAGCCATCAGCTGTGGTGTTTGGTTTGATATGTTGTAAGCAGTTGTGCTTTATGAAGGTTAATAGTTACATTATCTTGTATGTATCAATGAACATGCACAGCACTGCATCACAACAACACTGAATTTGAACTAGAAAAAATGGAAACAATTCAACCCATCATTGTTCCTTTTATTCATCTTCTGGTGCTATCTGGAACTGGGTCTATGAGGCAGCAGCCTAAGGAGAGATCATCACCCCTCCCTCTCCTCAGCCACTTCCGTCTGGCTCATCCAGAGGGACTCCAAGACATTATCTGGCCAAATGAGAGATCTAATCACTCCAGTGAGTCCTGGGTCTGCCATGAGGTCTTTTTCCGGTGGGACATGTATGAAACACCTCCCCTAGAAGGCATCCTTATCAGATGCTCAAACCTCCTCAAGAAGCAACAAGTTATTCAAATGAAGCAGTGATGATATTTTTTGTGAACGTTGAACTTAATGAGACTGTTTTACTCTTTTAGCTACAGTGAAATGATGTTAGTCTTAATGTGGACAGGCTGCTGTGAGCAGTTCTTACCTGAAGCTGCTGCAGGCTGCTCCTGATATCCACTGAACATATTTGCAGCATTCGGAGGTAATTCCTCTCAGACTGGACGAGCTCTTCTATGGCCAGCTGCTGTCTTTGAGCAGCCCTCTCCTTAGCTGCTGCTTCCTCCTCTTTACTCTTCTTCCTGGCCTCCTCTGCCAGCATCTCCTCTGAAACGGTGTTTTCCCCTGACAAACTGTCTTGTGAGGGAAGCCTGAACATTGTTGGACCGGTGTTCGTTCCTATAACTTCTAGATTAACAGGCTCCGACGCACTTTCTTCCTCTGGGCTGAGCTTCTCCTCTCCTACCTCATCGCCCTTCTCTGATGAGCCATCGGACTTCTCTTGAAGTTCCTCTTTCAGTGTGCTTTTAATAGCACCCCTCCTTACTGCTCCTTGGGGACGCATAGAGGATGAAGCTGGTTTGGGAAGTATGATGTGTGGGAGCTTCCAGGGCACCTCCATATTGGTGATCACTACAACAAAGAGAAACTTGGCTTCTAAATCATGCCATTTCAAACCTTTGAGAGCAAAGTTAGGCACAATATATGATCAAATATTATCGTTAGCACTATTGAGATACGAGTTCTTTTTGTCAACATTAATTTATATCGGAAGTCATTCTGTGCAGGCCAGACAAATTTCAGAATCCAGAGCTGAGTCAGAGAAGGGGCAGGGCCTGGTGTCGGGAGGAGGAGGACGGTATTACCTACAACTTTTAGTTTAGTTTAGTTTGGTGCTGTCCTTGTACAATAAAACCAAAGACAATGTTAGTCTTGACAAGCACGCACACACACACACACACACACACACACACACACACACACACACACACACACACACACACACAATCAATGTACAAAACTTAGCTTAGCTGATAAGAAACATGAGTGTTTACAAGTTTGTTTTGTTTCAGCCATTTGTTCACCTGGGAATTAAAAGTTGTACATTTTGTTAACAGCTTTATTGCTGAAGATGACGTTTGGGCTTTTCAGGAATTTCAAAATAAAATTCTAAATTTTCAGCTGAAATGGGAAAATGCACGAATGCAGCCAAAAATGGGTTTGGGGGTATTATTCATGAGGAAACATCATCACATGCTATATTTTATAATCGGCACATTGCGCAATAACACAACTCTCATCATTTTGATTAATATATTAAACTGAAGCTGTTTTGTTATGACTGCTTGACATAAAGAGCCATGTGAAAGAGTGTGTCGTCGGTAAGTGGCTTTGTTTGCATCACCGAGTGCTCCTTTAACTCTTGGTCATGAAGATGAACTCTGGACTGATCGAACCTTCAGAAGCAGATTTCATTCATCAGTTATCTCGTTCTGGTTCATGATCACTCTCAACTAATGAATCATCACCTAAATGCTGTCAGTTTTAGACTGACAACAACAGACCTGTGTTGGTTAAAAACACTCTATGGTATCTCTGTTAGCCATGAAACACTCCTTTGGATCAATCAGTTAGATTGCAAAGCAGCAGACCATTTCTTAACTTTATTGCAGTAAAAAATGAAAACTATTTCATTTTCCTCAAACTTTTGCTGTTTATGGGGGGAAAAAATGTCTTCTATCCATCATTTGAAGATGAAGTGATGCCAGGCCTAATGTCACTGGTAGCAGCACACACACACACATTTTATTTGCCAACAACTTGTTTTTACAGCTGCGCTGTCTCAGCAGCACACGTTAAAAGCTGCATACTGATAACAAATCTGATCCAGATGTGTGTCTGCTCTTCCTTATGTTAAAAGAAAAACCAATATAATATGATGGTAAAAAATATGATTAACAAATTCAGAGAAATAAATTCTCTATGACGATATTACCAGTAATATGTGCCATTATTGGATTTGATTTAACACACCACAACTTTTTATTAATCCACTAATGCAGACTTTGTAATTTAATTAGGCTGAGAAGAGCTGCTGATAAAATGTCTCCGTTTACAGCGTATGTCACACAGACCTGAGGAGAAGCAGAGGTGCTGTCATAAATATTCAGAGCAGGAAGCAGCTCGTGTCGGCCCACCGGGGGGCCGGCCAGCTGCTTACGGAGCAACAAACGCTGCCACCACTGAGACAATTAGCCATTACATGGTTCAGCTGAGCCACCGTCTACGGTTTAGAGGATAGACCTGAACATCATCTTTGGCTCCGTAATAATAATGTCTGTGTGAGGAGGTAACTTATGATACTGATTACAGAAATGTGCAGCTAACACCACACCAACATGACTGTGATGAATTATAAACATAATCATGTGTCACTGATAAAACTATGTGATGTCATGTGTTTGATGTCAGTTTTCCCCAGATGAAACCGCTCCACTGAATGCAAGGTTTTCCTATTTCTAAATCACAACATGATCAAACAGTCCTGCTAAACTACGGAGAAAATAAGGAGACGTGGGCACACAACCATGAACAGAGACGATAGGGTCTACACATTGGCTCACACGTGAGACTGTGTCATCGGCGAGGAGAGCATGGGCAGTAGACGGCGACACCGTCTCCTACTGCCAGCGGATAAACGGAGAAGGAAGTGACGCCGTCAACAGCAGCTAGCTCTGAAAAAGATGGCAGTGGTGGTCGAAACGTCAGCAAAAGAGGTAAAAACTACTTTTTTCTGTGTTAAAAATAAACAAGTAATGCAGTTAGGAAAAACACAGAACGCACAAGATATAGTCAGGGTAGTTTTAAAGATCTTAAAGTGAAAACCAAGTACAAAATCAGATCTGTGATTCTGTGATTTAAACTTCTGTTCTTCTGCTATAACAGCACAAAAACACTCCGAGTGCAGACCCAGCACTTCCACTCCTCCATCTTCAAACAGCAGGAGGAGCACCGGAGACACGTCGGGTGATACAGACTTTAAACCTCCAGAAGCTGTTGAGTTGTCATCATGCAGGTGTGTGACTCACTCACAGACAGTAAGCAGCCGTCTTCACACCCGGTATTAGAATATTTTCCCAAATGACCACTTGTGACCGCATCACACAAAATGAGTGTGAACAACCATTTGTTATTTTCCACTTAAATGTAATTCAGTAAGCAGCTCTGTCACAAAAAATATTTTCTATGGAATCTTTATCCTCTGAAAATGATGACGGGCATCAGTGGATTATGCCGGCATTGGCGGTACGTCTGCTGTAGCTCTAACAGTAGCAAACCAAGGAAAAAGTTTTTAAAAATATGCAAGCTCAATTTCTGCAATGTCTTCTTAGTGCGGTAGCAGTTGTAATCTAAGGTTGGGCTTGGATGTCTGCACATCAATATGAAGTGGGAAAAACACAGGTTAATTACATCAAACCACATCTGAACAGCCGATCAAGGCCAATATTTCTGGATTTTAACATTTCTTAAAACATTTCATTCATTTCAGAAGGAATTTCCAATAAATTATCAAGAGTTTGCAAAACTTTTTCATTCGTTTATGACTACTCTAATTTTACTTTATTACTCTAACATTTTCTAATATTACTCTTGAACTTTTAGTTATGACAAAAGAGGGTTTTTTTACATTGTTTCACTCATATTTAGACATAACCCTGATTTTTTCCTCCTTAAACAAAAGGTTAATAATAATAATAATAATAATGCATTGAACTTATATAGCACTTTTCTAGACACCCAAAGACGGTTCAGCTCTTTACGACTCTAACTGGACATGACGAACGTTTTCACACCTGGCCTGTTTAGTCAGTGTAAATCAAACCCTGCTGCTGTCCTTGGTGCAGTCCTCTTGCTCAGATGTAAACACAGTAATCGCACTAGGGAACTAAACAACCGTATTGAGATTTGTTGGACAAGTGGTCTGTACGAATGCAAATCAACTCTAGAGAAGTTTGTTTAAAGTGAGAATGTGATCCGATACAATTTTGAGTATGCTTCAAGTTTGAGCCAAACAGCCTCCAGTAGCCAGGTTTCTGTTGCATTCTGGGACATGAGAGGGTCTGTAGCTACTGGCTGTGTCTAAATTTGCATCCTCATTGGTCTCAGGAGAACGTGTTCTGCCCTGACTGGTTAGAAAGGACAACAGCTGTAAATTTGGACAGTCTAGCCTTAAAAAGCAGTCCCGCTCCTACTTCGGCAGATGTCCTCCTGTCACCTAGCTGTATGTCAGGCTGAGACCCAATGATACGCTGGTGAAGTATCATTTGCCTTTAAGTCTAAAAACTCTTACCAATTTCATGTCAACTTAAGCTAGCTTCATGACATGAGTAAATTGGGGTACTGAAAACATGAAAACGCTTCTGTACTTCACATCCATCTGTGTGATGTCCTGCAGTGCATGTCAGGATGTATAGAGGTGAGGACACTACACCGCACCTGTTCTCAAAATCGGGAAAAAGAAAAACCGATTTTAAGACCGCATTCTGAGCACTCTTTAAATTTGGGCAGTGTTCATTGCGGCACTGTGACTTCACTGGTCTTTAAATCCGACCTCATGAGCATGCAGCCCCTGAATTTGGACACAGCCACAGACTCGTAGCAACCAAACATGAACTGAAGACTAGGGAGAGGGGCTTAGAGCTCAGTCTCAGAATATAGAACCATCTTCTTGCGTTTACCTCTGTTAGCCCCACCCCTACCCAACCTGACCAATCAGTGGACAGAATGTACTCACCTGGTTAAATGCTTTTTTTTTTTGCAATTTTCTCTCATATGAAAAATCTACAAATAAAAAAAATGATGAGCTGATTCAGAACAGAGGAAACTAAAGGTGGAAGGACCCCCACCTGAAGGACTAAACGTTAAAACATTCATTTTGTCAAAATGTTTACTCATAGTAACTAGTCTCTAAACTAAACTTAGCATGCCACAGTGAAAAGCTGTTGGTAAATGCTCCAAATATATTTTTATTAAACATTTGGTATCTAACCGGCTCCTAAAATGTTGACTATGACACATAAAATAGAAACATCTGTAGCAAAAGTGTTCAGAGAGGTTAAGGCTCCACCATCATCCTGGGAACCAAAGTGTTTTACAGGTAAGGAGACCGTTATTACCTTTAGGTAAAATCCCAATCCAGCTGCAGTGAACGGAGATCTCCCCTCTCCACCGGGTTGTGTTGAGTCCAGTGTGAAGCAGAAATCACTGCAGAGGAGCCGCTGCACCATGGAAAACAAACACTGCTGTAACTTTATCCACTGACTCACAAACAGCTGCTCACTGCTCAGCCTCATGTGGCAAAAGTGTGTGTGAGTGAAGGGAGAAACGTGTAATAAAGAGGGGGGATGGGAGCAAAAAGGAGGCTGAGTTTGTGGAGAAAAGGAGGGGAGGGTAGAGAAGACCACACACACACACACACACATACACACTGCTGCTGAGTGAGCTGAATGACTGCAGCAGCTGTTTAGATGAGGAAGTCAGACTTACAAAGCTGGACTCTTGATTGGCTGTTAGGTCTTCTCACAGGTTTCAAGGACCAATCAGATCACGCCTCCAGAGGTTTCATAAGACACTACAGCAGCCGATGAAGACAATGTAGTCAAGTGATTGAAGTTTTCCTCTTTCAGAAAACAGAAGCACAGGGGGACGTCCCATCCTCCTCCAAAGACACCGTCTGCATTTTCTGGTTAGAAACAAAAAGAAAGATTTAAAATCACATTTAATGTTATTTTTCTGCTTCATTCAGACAATAGATAGATATTCCATGCACCAGCATGCAGACCGGTTCTCTAGAAAATGCATCTTTCAAGTTTGCAACCTCTCTAAAAGTAAATTACAATGTGCATGCCCTAACTTCTCATATACTTTAGAAGTTTCGCTAGTTGTAAAGCCTTTAATTTTCTTTGCTTGTGTGGTGAATGTGATTGCTGCTGGGACACCAAAACATCCCCACTGGCATACAACATAGGGTTTTTTATATATTTTTTTTTCTAAAACTGTGTTTCTCAACCCTGGTCCTCAGTGCCCCCCAGTCCTGCACGTTTTCCATGTCTCTGCTACAGCACACCTGGTTCACATATTTGCATAGGGAGCCTAAGTCTCCTCCCTTTCCGGTTGGCTCATGGGTCCTTGGACGAACGAAAAAAATGAATGCAAGTCAACGGGGCTAAAAGAGCTATTTTCTAATCCGCTTTGTCTTACGCCCACATCTGTTGTACTGCAATTTAAATGAAAACTAATGATGTGTGTTTCGACCACACCTGTCACGTACTTTGTCTTACGTCTTAAGAAACATTATTTTAATAACGAAACTGCTAAATTATTTCCAACAGTATAGATGTGTAGTGTATTTCGTCCGAGTGGGTTTGCTGTACTTTGACGTCATCGGCAGTCGAAGGACCCCGAGCCGATCTTGCACCCGAGCAGATCTTGTACCGACACCGGGACAGAGGGAAGTAGCTGCCAAAATGGACGTAAGCTAGGATTTTTCAATATCAAGGACTAATGTTGGGGCGAACGTTTTATAAACTTGGAAATAAAAGGGTTTTTTTCCATTATGAGTTTTAGATAATACATATAGCCTATTTTGCATATGCAGGGCGACTTACTTTTGAGGAGAAATGTTTACAGGGTTCCCGCAGAGTCTTAAAAGCATTGAATTTATGAATTTGAAAGTAATACCTTTAGAAGACTGGATAAACCCTTCAATTTTGGCATCTGCGTCTTAAAATTTGTGTTGGATGTAAGTTTTCTGTACTGCATTTTTCTTCTGAAGTTCATCAAAATATTCCAAACAAGTGATGACACCAAGAGTATTAGTAGTATTAATAAAGGCTATTTTTAGACATTTCATTTTTGTGTCTTTACTGTTTGCACTGTTGCTTTTATACAATAGAAATACTGCAAGAAATAAATTAGGGTAATAAAATTAACAATTAAAAAAACCTTCTTAAAATTAAACTAAAATATAGGCAACAAAAATTATTGTTAAGGTTCTAATGTCAAACCAGATGGATCCGGTTATATTTTTAACCCATGGTTTTCCTTACATAGGCGTAGCCGTGGCGGCCCGCCACGGCTGAAATCTTACTGCCACGCCTACAAGATCCCAAGTTTTATTTATTTATTTATTGCGCTGTTTCCCGAAGAAGCAGCAGGAACTACTATGTTGTCGCTTGTGATCACAGCCGGCGGGCAGCAAGAAGAAAGGAGCAGGCAGAGCAAGGTACAGTTACAGCATAAGTTACTGAGTTTAAAATTAGAAAGGTAGCAGTGGATATAATGCTTTTTGGTTTACATGTTTCAACATCATTAAGATAAACGAGTGTTGACGATCTTGACAGGGTTTCCTCCAGTGCTTACTAGGCCAGATTTTCCTCCCCCCGCCAGGCTAATCATCACTTATTCATGTAAAACTTATTTATTTTTTCATGTCTGAATTTAACCGCATCTAATACTGTATTGCGGCGTGAGCGCAACAGCGACAACTTAAGAAGTGTTATTTTCCCGCTTCAGAAGAAGCGTCCAACGTGTTTTTACGCTTTCTCCGAGACATGTCACGTCGCTAACACGTCAATAGTGCAGCGTAGCCTGCTGGAGGTTTTAAGGGTTCAGATGAAACACCCGACCTCTCAGGCTGCTCATGCATCGATCTTAAGCAGAGCACGACGTCGCCTCGGCTCTTCACGGCCGAGCCGGTACACCGGTACCGGACTGGGCTCGGTAACCGTCCCAACACAGCCACTGGGTCGTTGGAGCTGCCCCGTGACTGCCTGATGGAAAACCAGCGGGTTTCATCAGACTCGTAAAGCTTCTTGTTTTTGCTGGGGACCCCCTGTATTTTACCGCTCCCTCCTGCAGTCTTCCCCTATTAAAATTTAAAATGATTCTGTAAATTCCGTGTATCAATAGAAACAATCTCGGCCTCTGCCAGCTGCAGTAAATGTAGTCTCCAAATAATAAATAAGAGGTGCATTCATCTGTGTATCTCCTTTGATCCGCATTAGTGATATTTTCAGCACCAGAACAGTGAAGCAAAGAAACACATTCCTGAGTTTGTTAGTAATTTTATTTATTAGGTGCATCTAACCTGTTCTATTTTTCTCTGAAATGAGATCAAATCAGTGCTTCTATGGGTTGTCTCCAATCTGCACTGGAAAACTTTACTTTATTTAGAGACGTGTCATAATCCCCACCCCCCCACCCCCCCACCCCACACCACCCCCCATCCCCGCCACAGCTGGAAAAATTCCTAGGGGAAACACTGTAACCATTTGATTAAAAATATTACCGATCTTCTACCAAGTGCCCACCCAGTGTTTTGTCAAAATATATTGGTAAAGTTGTATAGATAAATAAATGAAAACTAGTTCAATAATTTTTTTTTCTGATAGTGCCATGAAATAGGTATTAATTTTCTATATGGCTTTAGAAAGATCTTAAACAGACTTAAATTTAAGTTGAAGAAACCTGTAGGAACACTTTTATAGCGTTGGGGAGATATGTTGTGTGGTCATGATGACTTTTTGATGGAAAATATATTTTACAGGGGGAAATATGTTAGTTTTTTAAGCTTTTTATGTTCGTATCTGGGTTCTACACCTGACGGGCTTTATTATTATGGTTAGAGTGCTAATCTGATATGTGTAATTATATAAACCTTGACTTAAAGCTCCTTTATCAAGTTTTAGAACAATATTAATATCTGGCACAATCTACTGTTGAGGGAGAAATACTATACATTACATAGGGAAAATATGTTAGTTTTGTTTTTTAATCATTGTTACATGCTAAATATAGAATAAGGAAAAAATGGTGTAAAGCCAATTTTCCTAACTAGCAACAAATTAGTAAATGATGTGACTTAAGCAGACTTAAAAAGGTGCCATTCATATCAACCCTGGTCCTCAAGGCACACTACCTTGCATGTTTTTGGAGTTTCTGTGATATAGCAGACCGTATTGAGATGATTGCAGTGAAGCAAAAGCTTGTTCACCAGCCATCAATTGAAATCAGCTGTGCTGAAGCAGGGAAAATTAATTACAGATTAATTACAGATCATACATAATTAATGTAAAATATGCTTTTAATCTCATGACAGCAGTAATTTTAATATTGTCTTTATTTTTGATTAGGAGAATTCTCTGCTTGAGGACACCTTTGAGGCAGCAAGGTGGTGTACCACAAGGTCCTTCAAAGGAAACATTTCCCTTCCCCAGGTCATCACCATGGACAGGGAAGCTTGCCGGAGGGCAGTGGAGAGGTTCTGCGAAGTCGTTTACAAGAAGGGACACAGCAGACTGCACTTCTTGAGGATGCTTAGGTCCTTCAATGTCTGTAGCAAGATGCTGCAGATCTTCTACAAGTCTGTTGTTGAGAGTGTAATCTCTTCAGCCATCGTCTGTTGGGGTAGCAGCATCAGAAGCAGGGACCTGAAAAGGCTCAACAGCCTAATAACAAAGGCTGGTTCTGTTCTGGGGACGACTGTGGAACCACTGGAGGAGATAATGCAATGATGGATTCTCCAGAGAATCAAGAAAATGATGGACAACCCTGAGCATTCTCTTCACAAGACTATCCGACAACGGAAGGGTATCTTCAGTCAGAGGCTTCTTCAGTTTCGCTGCAACACTGACCGCTACTGGAGATCCTTCCTGCCAACAGCCATTGTGATATACAACAACTCTTTGACGACTTGATTATTATTATTATTATTCTGAGCTACTACAGCAATCAATTTCCCTCTGGGATTAATAAAGTATTTTTGAATTGAATTGAATGCTTCTGTGATGGCCTGGATGAAGAGCAGATGAATGATTGCAGGGAACCGTTCCTGTTCATGTTTAGTTTTCAATCAGACTATGAGGAGTTCTGCAAAGAAATTGTGGACAAAAGGAAGATGAAGGTGTTTTCTGGCTTTGAAATGCCATAGTACAGCGGTGTCAAACTCAGTTTTTGCATTCTGTTTCCTCCTTACATTGTTTTTTTGGAGGTTCTCTTGTTTTTGTGTGCTTTTTGGTTAATTTGTTTGTACTTTTTTTATTCCTGTGTTGGCTGTTGTTTGCTCTATTAAATTTACCTTTTTGAAGAATTTAGTCAGCATTCTTAGGTGTCTCACACAATATCTCACCACCCCACCTCAAACCCTGGCGTGTTTTAAGATTAATCAGCACAATTTAAGTCTCTGGTCCTCTTAATGTAGCTGATATAACTGAGTGTATAACAAATTTACCCGTGTCTGTCTATAATGTTTTACACTCACTTGGAAAATGACTATTAAAATAAAGGCTGCATTGATAAAATTAACTATTAAAATGGTTTTGACAGGTTTAAAGAATAGTCTTGTCAAATGCTTGAACCTTTTATATAGGTACCAAAAGTATAGCTAAAAGACACAAATACCTATGTGCTATAAATACACATACCATACACAAAAGTAGGAAAAAGAATAAAAATATCAACAGATTGGATCAAAAATGGCACCTGTTTCATTTAACTTCATTATCTGCCCTTTCTTTAAAATTATCATATCCAGCAAACAAGTAATTTGATTACCAATGTTATGCTTTACATGGGTTTTTAGGGGTTTTTTAATCCTTAACTCGGGGGCTACTGCGGTTTCCTGGTTCCATTGAAGAGGAGCAGGAGTCGTTGTCTCCGCCCATCTGTAAATGTTTGATCCCG